CCTCCTCGGCGAGGGGCTCATCGTCGGCCTCCTCAGTGATAGGCTCATCGTCGGCCTCCTCAGCGAGGGGCTCGTCGTCATCCTCCTTCTGAGCGACAGACCCCTCCTCGTGAGTGGGAGTCTCGGCGCCAGAGTCAATCGAGGCATCCTCCTCGAGAGGCTCCACCTCGGGAGTGGGCGCAGCATCGACCTCCAGGTCGTCCTCCTCGCTGTCAGTGTCGAAGAGGCCACCCTTGGCCGGGGTGGCGGCAGTGGGAGACGCGGCCGCCGCGAAGACGGCATCGTCCTCATCCTCCTCGCCACCGTCATCGCTGCCAGTGGCATCATCGCTGACGACCGCAGCGGCCATGGACGGGGCAGGATCCTCCGCCACGTCAGACTCCTCGTCGTCCGAGAAGCCCAGGCTCACGGCGGCAGTCTTGCCGGGGGCCGGCAGGAAGGGGTCATCATCCTCATCCTCGTCATCCGAGAGGAGAAGGCTCGACGCCTGGGGCTTGGTCGCCACCTCCGGAAGCGGCAGGTCCTCCTCGTCGTCCTCCGAGTCGAAGAGAAGGGCAGCGGTCTGGGCCGGGCCCGGGGCCGCAACGGCAGGGAGCTCATCCTCATCCTCGGACTCCTCCTGCACGCCGGGAGCAGCCGGGGCAACGGCCTCCTCAGTGATGGACTCGTCGGACTCCTCGGCGGCAAGGGAGGTCTCCTCGGCGACAGGGGCAGCCGCCTCATCGGCGGACTCCTCCTCCTCCTCCTCGGACTCGTGCTCGGACTCGTGCTCGGACTCGTGCTCGGACTCGTGCTCGGACTCGTGCTCGGACTCGTGCTCGGACTCCTCAGCAGACTCCTCGTCAGACTCCTCCTCGGACTCCTCAGACTCCGCGACCACGGGCTCCGGGTTCAGAACCGACAGCGTGGCGTCACGAATGATGCCGGTCACGGTGGCGCGCTCCTCCGGGTCGGCCAGAATCGGCAGCACACCGCGTGCCACGCCGTTCATGATCTTCTTGATATCGTCAAAGGTAAACTGCCCACCGGCAGCGGCTCCCACCGGGGCGGCGCCGGGGGTCTTCTCAAGCTCCTCCACCGTGGCCAGCAGCTGGGCCACCTTGGCACGGGCCTCGGCCAGCTGGGCCTCGAGCTCAGCCGTGCGGGCCTCCTGCTGGCGGGTGGTCGACCCGGCCGCGGCGGCGGCCAGCTCGCGCTCCTCCGCCCGAGCCTGCTCAAGGGCCTGGCGCTGGGCAATCTCCATGTTGGCCACGGCCGTGGCATGGGCCTTGCGCAGGTCTTCCTGCACGCGCTCCAGCTTCTGGGTCCAGATGGCCTCGAGCTCCTCCTCCATCTCGCGGAGGCGGGTGGCGGTTGCCTCGCCGGAGGACAGACGCTCGCGGCGAAGCTGCTCGCGCAGGGTCGAAATGTCCTTCTCCAGGGCCTTCTGGCTGTCGATGTAGGTCTGTCATATTGCCGGACCGCGCGCGCCCAACCGAGCCGGGACCCGCCCCGCCCCCCCCCCCCCACACGCCAGAGCGTCGTGCGATTCATGTGTCAGTGACCGGGGAAGAGGCCATGGCTCCTCATCCGAGGGCCAGCGAGTGAGAGCGAGAGGGGCACAAAAGGCAGCCAGGCGCGCACCTGCTCAGCACGGGCAAGCTCCTCATCGGACTTGCGCCGGCGCTCGTCCGACAGGGCACGGACGTTTTCCAGCTCGCGGATCCGGTCGCTGACCTCCTCCTCGAGGGCGGTGATCCGCTCATCGGCCTCGGCCTTGGCCGCCTTCAGGAGCTTCAGCTGGCGGGTCAGCTGCTTGACGCGGGTCTCCCGCGTGGCGGCCTCCGTGCGCAGGGTGTCCGCGTCGGAGCGCGCCTCCTCCAGAGCCAGGGTCAGGGTGGCGGTCTCCTCGCGGAGCTCGGTCTCCACGCGGGTCAGCCCGGCCACCTGGCGCTGGGCCGAGGACAGGTCCGACTGGGCGGCAGCCAGGTCGGCCTCGATGCGGGACTTGTCCTGCTGCAGCTTCAGCAGGATGTCGGCCGAGTGCTCGGACGTCGCGCGCAGCGACTCATTCCGCCGGTCCAGCATCTGGTTCCGGTCGTCGATGAGCTGCTCCTTCTCGGTCACCAGGCCGGCCACGCGAGCCTGCAGACGCTCCACCGTGGTCGAGCGCTCGTCGATCTCCCGGCGCAGGCGGTCGCTCTCGGTCACCAGCTTCTGGATGGCGCGCAGCAGCTCCAGCCCCTCCATGGCGGGCTTGCCGCCGTCCGAAGCGAAGAGCGGATTGTTGACAATCCGGCCGACGCCCTCGCGCAGGGTGGACACCTGCTCGGCCACCCCGGCCACCGAGGTGGCCATGGTGGTCTGCTGGGTGGCCACCTTCTGCGCGGCATCGTGCGTGGCGCTCAGCAGGCGCCGGTCCTCATCGGACAGGGCGACCGGGCCGGGGGCCGGAGCCGGGCTGGCGACCGGGGCCGGAGACGCGGCAGCGGCGGCCGGGGCAACGGCGGCCGGAGCATACGCGGCCACGGTGGCAGCCGCCACAGCGGCCGCCGTGGCAGCAGCCGAATCGTGATAGTGCCCCGGGTTGCCGTAGTGCTGCCCGGGAGCAGGAAGGGCCGGCCGGAAGGGGGCGCCCGGAGCACCAGCCTGCTGGTATGGGTGATAGAGGGCCAGCTGGCCGGGGCCGGCCTGCGGGGCACCGGTCCACGGGTCCTGCTGCATGGGGTACATGGGCTGCTGCTGCTGCTGCTGCATGGGGTACATGGGCTGCTGCTGCGACTGCTGCATGGGGTACATGGGCTGCTGCTGCTGCTGCTGCTGAACGGGCTGCTGCTGCTGCTGCTGCATAGGCTGCTGCTGAACAGGCTGCTGCTGGACGGGCTGCTGCTGCTGCTGCTGCTGCTGCTGAGCGGGCTGCTGGCTGTTGCGCTGGCTCAGGGTCATGGCAACCTCGTCGTTCATGGCAGCAGCCGCCGGAGCCGGCAGGCTGCTGAGCATGTTCTGGCCGAACTTCGAGACGCGGTCGATGACCTCCTGCTGCTTCTGATCGCGGCCGCGCTGGGCAAGCGTCGCGAAAGGGATGGTTAGAGAAGGGGTCTGCCGAGGGGGGAGGGGGGAGCAGGGGGAAAGAGCAGAGCCCCCAACCGAGCCCGCGCCCCCCACCGGGGGGAGGGCACATGTGTGGAGCAGCGTACCAGGCTCTGAATGGGGTCATCCTCGTCCACCTCGGAGGAGGAGGCCGGCGCCACAGGCAGGGAGGGGAGCGGGATCTCCTGCACGGTCTTGAACTTGCGCGGCGAATCCTTGGCCGGGGTGCCGGCGGCCGAGGCGGCCGAGCCCTCGAACCGAGCGCGAGCCAGCTTCATGTGGAAGAAGAGCGGGCAGCCGGTGGGGAAGCCCTGGGCGCTGGTGGCCATCGTGGCGGGGACCATGATGAAGCGGCGGCCCTCGAGCTTCATGCCGCGAACACCGGTCTCCCAGCCGGCACACACCTTGCCGCGACCGATGGTGAAGGTCTGCTGCTGATCGGGGTTGTTGAGTCCGGTATGGAAGGGGCTCAGGGAGTTCTGGCTGAAGGACCAGGCATTGTAGGCCACCGCCGCGCGGGACCCCGGGCCGAGGGAGTCCTGGGGTGGAGCAGGGTCGAGTGGATCGAATGGATCGAATGGATCGAATGGAGCGAATGGTGCGTAAGCAGGGCGAAGAGAGGCAGAGCAGCATCAGGGAGGGTCACACGGCCGGGCCGACGGAAACATACATCACCAGTGCCGACGAGGGAGTCCTGGATGACCAGCTCCTTGAACTGGGCGGCCGAGGCGCGGGCATAGGTGACCTTGAGATAAAAGTTGCTGGCCTCATCAACCGAGGAGAAGCGCACGGTCCACGAGCGACCATGCTCGCCGGTGAACATGGCCGACGTCTCGTCCAGGGGCTATGGCGTGCGGCCCACAGCAAGGGAGCGGGGGGGGGGGAGGGGGGGGGGGGGAGCATGTCAGGGGCGGTGCGGGGTGGCGGCCTGTAGGCGTGCATAGGCAGGCATCTCTCTCTCTTTCTCTCTCTGGGTGTGTGTGTGTGTGTGCCCGGGTCATACGCACGGTCAGCGAGAAGTCCGGGCTGATCGGGGCACTGGTGTACACGGTGCCGGCCTTGTCCAGGTTCAGGATGAAGGCGCCCTTGTCGCCGAGCTTCAGATTCAGGTCCAGCGTGCCGTAGGGAGTGTATCCCTTGGACCCGGCAGAGTCACTGGGCGGCGGGGGGGGGGCAGGAAGGATGGCGCATGGAGGGTGAGGGGAGCCAGCGAGAAGAGGCGCGATCGCGAGCCGGTGCAGGGGACGCGTACTGCAGGAAGGCCGAGACGGCCACAGAGTGGAAGGACATCCTGGCGAGGTGGGGAAGGCTGGAGGCGGGGGGGGGGGGGGAGAGAGCGGGCCACCAGGCGGAGGGGGGGGATGCGGCTGACTTGGCGACCAGACACGCGTGGGGGGGGGGGGGGGGGGGGGGGGGGGGGGGGGGGGAGAGAGCGGGCCACCAGGCGGAAGCGCGAGATGCGGCTGACTTGGCGACCAGACACGCGTGGGTAGGGGTGGGGGGGGGGAAAGGAGGGGGGAGAGGGGCAGCGAAGGAAGATGAAGGGAGGCTGGGCGGGGGAAGGGGGTGAGGGTGGCAGAAAGGGCGCTCTGGAGGCAACGCGCTGCCGCACGCGGGGGGTAAACAATAACAATAAAAATGCCGAGGGCACAGTCCCGCCAGGAGGCCAGCAGACGGAGCTCAGGGGGGGGGGGGGGATCAGTGGTGAGTGTGGGCCGGGCAATACGCGGTCGACGCGCTCGTTCTACACACGGGCACCAGCGGGGGGGCTCCGCTCCTCCCGTCCCGCGTCCCTCTGCCTCGCCTGCTGCCGGGGGCGCGGGCGGCGGGCGGTTCTTCGGACGAAATGCCGGCCACCGGCTGCCACTGCCCCCGCCGCTGCCTTGGGGCGAGGCTCTGGGGTGCGGGGCAGCAGGGAACAGGGGGGGGGGGGGTCACGAAGGGCGGGGATACAGAGGAAAGGAACAGGGGCGCTCCGAGGCGGAGGGCGTGCGCGCGGGGATGCGCGGGTCGCCGGGCAGCAGGGAGTTGTTGCCCTGCGTGACCGCCCGGGCCCCTGCATGCCAGGCGCGCGGCTCCCAGCGCTGACCGCAGGCCCCGGGGACGAGCCCAGGCTCGGCGCGGGCGAGCGGACGCCGGCCCCGCCCCCCCCCCCCCCCC